TTTGCCATGGGCGAACAGATCTGCATGTATGGACGCACTGCTAGACTGTTAAAATATCCCATAAATTAAAATTCATATATTTGATAAATCTCATCAACCAATAGTATCGGTAGTAAAGTGTAAGAAGCAAAGGGGGTAGAATTCGTCATCCTACGGAATCGGATCGAAGTTATAGTGATCTGGCCCCATTCATGCTATTGCTAAAAACAAAGTTATAAAAGACAATTATATTTTCTCGGGCTAGTAGATTTTTGGCAGGACAGACAACTTTCAGTAGCAGTCAGCCCTGCATGTCTGGCTAATTTTACAGTGAGTTTCAAACACTGGTGAAGGGGAGTAAAAATTGTGAATTTCATGGCCCATGGGCCAGGTTCTGGTGTAAGGGAAGGGCTCTAATGATTAAAAAGTAAACCTGCATGAATTGTTTGAAAATCTTCTCCTCTGCACCCGAGTATTAAACTAATAAACTATGTACATAGTTATGATGAGGAAGGGTGCCTCTTACAAAATTGTGAATTTCATGGCCCTTTGGTCAGGGGTTCTGGTGTAAGGATGGGGCTCTAATGACTATAGTGAAAATGCATGAATTCTTTGAAGATCTCCTCCTGTGCTCCTGGTATTAAACCAAGTGGATTTTTTGAACTGTATGTACGTAGTTATGATAAAGAAGGATGCCTCTTCCAAAATTGTGAATTTCATGGCTCTGTCGGTCAGGGGTTCTGGTGTTAGGGCAGGGCTCTAATGATTACATAGTGAAACTGCATGAATTGTTTGAAAATGTTCTCCTCTGCTCCTGGGTATTAAACAAATGAACTATGTACATAGTTATGATGAGGAAGAAGGGTGCCTCTTCCAAAATTGTGAATTTCATAGCCCCTGGGTCAGGGGTTCTAGTGTTAGGGTGGGGCTCTAATGATTATATAGTGAAAGTGCATAAATTGTTTGAAAATTTTCTCCTCTGCTCCTGGGTATTAAACCAATGAACTATGTACATACGAGGGTTGTCCCAGAAAAACGCGAACATTTTTATTATTTTTTGTTTCACTAATATCATACAAGTAAAAATCGGCATGCACCATAATGAACATCTTTTACATAAATCACAGAAATTTCAGTAAAATATCTCTATAAATAAGTTTTTTCTCTCTGATAAATGAATCATTAAAAATAGCTGCTGGTGCAACACCGACGATATCAAAAATAGTAGATAGTTGAGTTTTTGAATTTGTTGAGAAATTGCACGCCTTTAAAAAGTAGTTCGAAGCATAAATTGGATACTGCATTTGATTTTCTTTTAGTTACAGAGTTATCCATTTCATACTACAGTTAAGAATTATCAAGGAATTAATTCTTTTAATAGACAATTTCCCAACCCCTGATCATAAACTTTACTGTTCGCATAGTTAACGGTGGTCTCCACACCTGATGTCCAGATCTAGACTTTTCAGTTTGTCGTCATTTTTTTTGGTCTACCAAACGCTACTTCCATTGGACAACCAGTCCGTCCATTTTTTGAACCTCTTTTACTATGAATAAACCAGTGTTCCATACATGTATTTGTGTTGTTCCCGCATTCCAAGCTCTTTTCCCGTATGAACAGGAGTCATACCCGCTCCATGCAGTACTTAGTGATATTTTGGTGCGCCGCATTATCGCCTGATGTTGCCATTTTTGACAATATCTTACTAATAGTGTTTGTGCATATAAAGTCATATTTTTGTTAATCATGATGTCGAAGTATTGATTTTTTACACGAGTACTCTAGATGGTACAGTTTTATGGATGTAAATTTTTGTCACATTATATTTCCGTATAGTCTGGTAATAAAGAAAACATAGATGGCAATGCTGTTTTGAAAGTCAAGAAATTGCCGTGCGCCGACCACAGATATTTAACACCCTTTAAATGCTGTTTATAAATGCATATGACATTATAACCTTAAAGTTTTTGGTCAAAATGACGAAAAAAATCATTTCCCAACATTGTGCAAAAAATTAATATTTTTGGTCAGGTAGTTTGTGAAATATTTAAAAAGTTTGCGTTTTTCTGGGACAACCCTCGTAGTTATAATGAGGAAGGATGCCTCTTCCGAAATTGTGAATTTCATGGCCCATTGATCAGGGGTTCTTGTGTTAGGGTGGGGCTATAATGATTATATAGTAAAACTGCATGAATTGTTTGAAAATCATCTCCTCTGCTCCTGGGTATTATGCTGATGATCTAAGTATATAGCTACGATAAACAAGATTCCTAATATTCCAGAATTTTGAATTTCAAGGCCCCTGGGTCAGGGGTGAGTGGGGGGGGGGGGCTTATGAATTGATGCTTTGAAATCTGCTCCTTGGTATTAATCAAACATTTATGATGAGCAAGGGTGCTTTTTCGAAAATTGTGAAATGTGTGGCCCCAGGGTCAGGGGTTTCCGGGGGGCAGAGTTTTTGAAAACCAAATATTTCTATCAGTCATTCAGACTGATGGCTTAATGTGTTCTACCAGTCCAAAGGAAATTCTATCAGTCCGAATAAATTTTAGTATATTTCATGATGTAATTCAAAAGAAAATGGCATTGGTTTATATAGTACTCAAATTGAGTTTGTAAATCTTTCCGCAGATCATTACAACACCGATTGTGAGAACACGGGTATGCAATTAAAAAGTTCAAGCACTAGCCCACGGGCTAGCAATAAATTCACTATCCCCAAGTAAAAAGTTGCTAGCCCAAATGGGGGGGGGGGGGATAACAACTAATATGAAAAAAATATAGTTTATTGTTGAAAAATTCAGGGTCTGAAGACTAGGTCATTCTTTTTAAACTTAAAAGTTTAATTCTCACTTGTAAAATTGAATCAAGTATAAATTAATAATTATGATAGAAAAATGAATTCAAATAAATTATCTCCCCTTTTTCTGGACATTGCACTAATCTAAACTGAAGCAAAAATCCTTTTTTTTTTTAATCTTTAATCATTAAATACATTGGAACTATATTTTATGTAAATCACATAACACTCGTCTTTCAGTTGATTGAGTGATCGTAAATAGTTTAACGAGATATCTGCATGTGTTTACCATAAACAGAGGAATGGAGGAATTTCGGATTAGAAAAAAAAACCGATCGTTTTTGGAAGTAAATAAATTAATCAGTAAGTATTGCAAAATGGATAAGTTTATGGAGATTTACGAACAATAGGAGCATGCTGCCTGGAAATTTTTCATTTATTGGGAATTTAATAGCAGAAAATGAATGAAAATATCAGTAGTGCTTTTCGTGTATCACATTGGTAGTTTTTACTTTTACTAGCCTAAGGGGCTATCTCCTTGCAGAAAACTACTAGCCCGGCCCCAAAAAATGGTAGCCCCAGGTGTCGAGCGATGCTAATTGCACACCCCTGGTGACATCGCAATAGATCAGAGTACAATTAATTAGAATAATCTAACTGTGTCTCAAGACAAGCCATCGGTCACGTGGACTGGTAAAAGAGGGAATTGCATCGGACATTTCGATTTTCTATCGGTTTTGCAGGTAGGACCGATGGTTTTCGGAAACTGGGGGGGGGGCACTACTGATTATTGCTGATTATTACTGATTAATGGAAATGCATTTTTTCTTTGTTCCCATACTATGCTTTGAGATGTGTATTAAGTAATCAAACTTAAAGCATGCTACGTGTATAGTTATGGTGAGCAATGGTGCCTCTTTCAAAATTGTGAATTTCATGGCCTCTGGTTTAAAACACGAACCAAAGTCAATTGTTGGAAAGTTGTTACATGATACTCAGGTGACCTATAAAGCCCTTGGGCCTCTTGTTTTTTTATGAGCCCACAGTTTACCCATTTTGTTGGAGGAATGTGATAGTGGGAGAGAATTCATTTATTATTAATTGTGATGTTTAAATTTTTTTTTTATTTCAAGACAGCCATAAACAATATTATCTATCAAATGTTTACCCTGATTTTAGTGTTTGACATCATTCAAAGAAAGTGTCACACAATGACAACGTAACATGCTGATAATGACCAGTGAAAATAATTGAAAAATACACTGAATGCAAAAAAAAAAAAACCCCAAAAAAACATTGTAGGGCTTTATTTTATGCCCCACCATGAATATGGCTGGGGCATATAGAGTTTGTCATGTCCGTCTTCCATCCTTCCATCTGTTCTTCCATCATGCTTTGCATTTAGCTTACTTCAAAGCTCAGTTTCAAAGAAACTATTCAATTATTCCATTATTTTTATCAAACTTCATATGCTGATACTTACTGATGTGAGCTATTCTACTGCATCAATTTATTTTTTACCTTGACCTTTCCTTTGACCTTGACCTCACTTTTCTTGGTGTTAGCTCAGTTATAAAGAAACCATTCAATATAGTGTAATCAAATTTCATATGCTGATACATACTGAAATAAGCTATTCAACTGAATCAGCATTTTTGACCTTAACCTTTCCTTTGACCTTGACTTCACTTTTCTTAAATTAGTAATTAGCTCAGTTTAAAATAATCCTGATGTTTTTATCAAACATCACATGGTGATAAGTTTTAGTGAGAGATATTCAACTGCATCAAAAGTTGAGACCTTGAAGTATCCTCTGACCATGACCTCACTTTTCTTAAATTTGCATTTTGTTTAGTTTTAAAGAAACCATTTAAGATATTTTATGTAAGCTTATGCACTAACACATAATTTGGTGAGAATTTATCATCTATATTCAATTTTTTAGATTTCAGTTTCAATTTTAAAGAAACTATTCAAGATATTCTCATCAAACATCATACACTAATGAATACAAATTTTTATGTTGCAATACTGATATACCCTCGGTGGGGCATTCATGTCCTATTGACATATTTTTTTTTTTTTAATTTCAGTATATTAAACAAATAGTCTCTCAAAATATTATCATATAACATTTGAATTTTGATTCTGCATTACTTATTCTGAAATCAAAGAAAAATACTGAATTTGTTGTGTGATTATTTTTTTTTGTAATTGTAGTATGGAGCTTAGACGATCTGGAAGGACTAGACGGTCTCCCAGGTGGCACAGCGACTATGTGGTGGAGATTCCGGTAAGTTAATAACAAGGCAAATAAGATTCCGTTACAATACCAATGTTTTTGGGGGGGGGGTCTGAAAGGGGGCAATTATTTGATATCTTGATAATTAATATTGTTAATTTGAATTTTCCAATAGAAGATTGGGTTTTTGTTTTTATCTCATTTTATTTTACCAGTCTACTGATTTTTCACTATATAAGAGTAAATTGATATATTTTGCTGATTCCCTGAAAATCACCATAAAAGGACTGATTCCCTGCAAAAAGGTGTGACAGTCTGATGAACTGATACACACCTATTCTGAACACTATAAGCAATTTCTTTTAATCATATAAATAGTTCAAATGAGTACCAAATAAACTCATAAATATTCATGATGCAGCTATGTTAATGCATCATATAAGGAGGCGGGGCCTAATTCATAGGGGAAATGTTATGCCTCGTATTGTGATGTCAACATGGTAAACTGATGTGCACTGAGAGCTAGACAGATCACTTAACTTTGTAATCTCGGCTAACTGTAATGTTTCCTTCAATATTTTACAAAGTAGTTCAGACAATGAACAATTATTTAATGATAAAATGGAATTTCTTTAATGACTGTAATAAATTCTGTTGTGTTGTTATGATTTTTTATTTATCCCTGTTACGAAGTCGGATACTTGAATTAAAATTAAACATTGTTACAGTATTGATTTTAACTTTTTTTTCCAAATTTCTTGTTTGTATTGGTATTATAAAACAGTTAAAGTATATCATTGAGGAAGTCAGCAAGATTCCAGTTCCCCTCAAGCAAGTCTATTTCCCTTGGCGCAGGTGCCTCAGGAAATAGACTTGCTCTTGGGGAACTGGAATCTTGCTTACTCCCTCAATGATATACTTTAACTGTATACTGTTTCTTAACCTTCCCCAGTCTGCTAATGGATAAACAAATTGATTTCAACCTTTTTGCAATCTATAAGAAGTTTCTTTTCCTAATTACCAGTTTGTAACCAGTTTGCAAGAAGTCTAGAGGCATTTCTTAGGCCGCAGTTAATAGGCAGTTACATAGCAGTTTATAGGCTGAGTTTTGGGGGCAATTCTTAACTATACAATTAACCGACTAGTATATGAAAGCTTAAGGAGGAATGCCACACCAAATTTTTATTTAATAGATCTTTAAGAAATCCCTTTTAAACTATGGTTTCAGCATTGCAAGACCGATATTAGCTTTTAATTATTTTATACAATATTTTTGCATTTTTTCAAAGAAAAAGAAAAAAATGTTTTATTTGCAAATAAGATGCTTTTTGGTTTAAAATTTGCTATTAATAAATGCATAATATGAATGTCTAATAAAATATGTTATTAGAGGCTGGATAGACATTTAAATTTTTAAAAAAAAAATTATTTATGAAAATGAAACACATAATTTGTGAATAATTTTTAAACCTCTAATATCATGACATATATGTTGCTATAGCATTTCACTCAGAAATATATTAAAAAAATTTATTTTATCTGGAAATTATTTAAACTACGAATTTCGGGACGCGTTTGATTGGCACGTCCTTGCACTTTCACAAAATAAACTTTATCCTTAATACTTGAGAAAAGTAGAAATTTTGTTGTGTATTCATGAAAAAAATTAAAAATTCAGAGTAGAAATGTGAGAAAGCAAAACCAACTCACCAGTATCGTCAGTCCATGCTCAATGATGTGTGCAGAGTCTAACAAGTTGAACACACCCGGTGAAACGTAAACATTAACAGTAATAGAGCTCGTGCCCTGTTTACAACACAGTTTACGTTCACTTTACAGTCATATATCAGCTTGTCCATCTGAATGCATATCTTTGAATTTTAATTATTATGAGCATTATCATTATAATGTGAAAACTCAAACAGTTTTCAACATTATAAATCAATTTTTTTATAATATATACAAAAGAACTGTACTCTTAGAGGAAGACACCTTTATATTGTGGAAGCATCTTCAGGTAGCATAGATTCATATTTGTTTAAATCTTGACCCTGGCTTTAGAAGGGGGCCACAATGAGAAATCTAATTTTTGCATAGGAATTTTATAGTAGGAAAAATCTGCTTAAGAATATAGCATAGCCACAATAAAAGATCAAATACACAGAAAAAAATCTAAAGTCAGGATTAGTCAAATCCATATTTCTTTGACTAATCATAGCCTTAGATAAAATAAATTCAAGGGTAAGCAAATCATAACCCCTACCCTTTTTTCCAGGGTAGGGGGGAGGGATTTGTGAGCAATCACTTATACATTTTATCTTTTCAGTACTAAACTGATTTCTGTTTTTTTTCTAGCTTGTTTGCTCAGGTGAGTGATGTGGCCCATGGGCCTCTTGTTTACTTCTTAGGAACCATTGGGCCAATTTTAACCAAACTTGCAACAAAGTATCCTTGGATAAAGGAAATTCAAGTTTGTTCAAATGAAGAGCCAGTCTTCTAAGGGGAGATAATCATGAAAATTAATCTTTTGAAAATCTTCTCAAGAACCACTTGAGCCAAAAAAGTTGAATCTTACTTGGTATCTTCATACATGCCAACCTCCAACATGTAAAAATCTGGTCATGACCAGATTTGGAAAGTAAAATATCTGGTCATAACAAGTAACGACATTCACAGTCATGACCAGATTTGGAAAGTAAAATACCTGGTCATAACAAGTAACGACATTTACGACATATTTACCATGATTAAATTTTATATACATATATATAAGCATTTGTGTATTGAGAATTATTTTATCAAAAAAAATCTGGAAATAGGGAGATCTTTGGGTTGTTCAGCAATAATCGGGTGAAAAGCATGACCCGCCGTGGCATAAGAAATAATCGGGTTAAGGGTCGAAAAATTGGATGTAACCCGAAGAAATCGAGTGAGTTGGCAACTATGGGTATCTTCCTCAGGTAGTGTACATCCAATTTTGTTCAAATCATGACCCCCAGAGGAAGGGAGGGTGCCAGAATGGGTTATCAAAGTTTTACATAAAATACATAGGAAAAAATCTTTTCAAGAACAGCATAGCCTTGATTGGGCATAACTATAGGAAAGCACCTTCAGGTAGTGGAAAATCAGGTTTGTTTAAATCATGACCCCTGGGGGTAGGGAGGGGCTACAATGGATGATCAAACAAAGTTTTACAGCTTAGAATACAAGTTCAAACATATAGGGAAAAATCTTGAAAATTTTTTTCTACTAAAGCCATCATTAGTAGAAAAATATTGAAGCATGCTAGGTAGTGCAGATTCAAGATTGTTCAAATCATGAGCCACCCACCCATCCTGTTTTCCCCAGACCATTTTTATATTTTATCTTTTCAATAATGACTGATTTCTGCCTTTTCTAAGCCATAATGCTTAGGTGAGGGATTTGGCCCATGGACCTCTTGTTCGGAATGAAAATAAAATGAGTATTTTTTGGAAGCATGCAGATCTATTCCCAAGCAGTTTGTCACTTATCTCCCATTGAAGGAAGGAGTGGGTCTCTAATTCAACAAAATTGAATTTCTTTCACCCAAGGATGCTAATTTTGGCAAGTTTAATTGAAATAAATTTCACTAGTGCTGGAGCAAAAAAAAAAAAAAAAAAGACAAATGGAAAAAAATGTTCATCAGAAAATCTCACTTGCCAAGAGAGCTCAGCAGGACCAAAAAGTCCTGTTAAGTACGTGTACAGTCTTGTCAGAGCTTTCTGTATTTGATTAAATAACATTAAAATTCTTGGTTTTGACATGGTATTTTTTTCTTTTTTAGGTACGGAGGACTCGGGTTAAGCAGAGGGTGACAGTTGAAGATGCACCTCAACAGTCTGAGGAGATGGCACTGCCACTTTCTGAGGCTATTCAGGATCTTCCTGAGGAGAGGCCAGAACAAACTGTGGAGATGGCTGTGCCATCTGCTCAGTTTGTGATGGCTGACGCTCAGCCAGAGACTGTCCAGTCTGAGGAAGTGTGTCTGCCATCCCCGCAGCCTGTACTAGCCCTTCCTTGGCTAGGATCTGAGCAGACCGTGGAGGTGGCGCTGCCATCTCCTCAGCCTGATCAGGTTCCTGTTAAGGATGAGGTTGGACAGACTGTGGAGATGGAACTGCCATCTACTGAGATTGTTGAGGGTCATCCTCAGCTCTCGTCCAGCTGTGACCCCCCAGCAGTGGTGCCCCTTCGTCCTCAGCCACCACCAGTGAGGGAACCTATGAGGCGAGGCTTTACAGCAGGAGGGTTAGTAAGTAAGCAGAAAGTTTCGAAACGATATGGTACCATATTTTATAAAGCGATGTGCGCTTTATTGGGTTCTTAAACAAGTGCATCAAAAACAGTGCATTAATTTTGTAAAAACTGAATGTTATATAATCCATTTCGAAGTTCTGTCTCCCTCTGGTTAAAAAATACATTTCAAATTCAATCTTTTGACAAGTGTAAAACCAACATTTCAAGATAAAGTTTATGTATTTTGTAATAATTTTTTAGGTTGTGTTATCTCCTTAATCTTTATATCATTACTGATCATTTTTAATTCAAAACAGTTAAATATAATCTTTGGTGATTGAAATTCCCAACCTTTTTCACAAATTATAAGAAAAAAACTGCTTGCGTGATACATATTTTCTTGATAAGATACATTCTTGAATATAGGTACATATCGATATAGCCTTAGTTAGTTGGACAGTTGTGATGGCATTGGATGTTTCTTTGATTACTGGAGTCTTTTTCCCCTATTTTCACTTCTTTCTAAAAGTTAAATTCTCTTTAAATTCAGTTTGTTAGGGTATAGCTTGAGTTAGGATTAAATAAGTTTAAATTTTTTCCTTTTTTTTTCACTTATTTTCTCATGGATGCTGCGTCTAAATATCTCAATAATAGCACACACCGTTATTTAGACGTAGTCATTCTTGAGAGTAATTAATGTTTGTTTTAGTCAGTAGATAGGGTCAAATAAATTTTCTTTTCTCTTCTTTCATGTCAATTTAAAAGGTTAAAGTAACATTATAGATTAAAATTTTCATAAAACAAAATATTTTTTTAAGAGTTGACTAAGCTTAAAAATTTGTAAAAGTAAAATGGACGTTTCCATAATACATATTTATTTTAACAACTAAAAGTTAGATTAAATTTTTCAGTATTTTCTCATGGATGCTGCATTATTATCTCAACACATTTAATTAGCATACCCCATTACTTAGGCATTATAGTCATTCATGAGAGTAACTAAATTTGTTTTCATTGAAATTTTTTTTTCTTCACTTTTTCTTGTTAAACCTGATAAATAAAGATAAAATAATTTTCCTTTGATAATGATTTGAATAGGTATTAGGGTTTAAATCCTTATTTTTATTCTTTAAACCTCCAGTCTGACGAGAACCATTACTTCCACTGTGTGCATGATGGATTACATATTGTATCTGTTTTGACTCTTTGTATTCATATTTCTTCCGTATATTGTGTATAATTTGTTATAGAAGCATGGGATATTGTAATTCTAAGGATACTTTGATTGATATTTTGGTTAATTACTGTATGAATTTATTCATTATCTTGTTTCAATTTCCTAAATTTTCTAAATTTCCTAAGGGTTGCGATTAATAGTAAAGTTAAAATTTCATAAGTATTTTTTTTTTAATTAACTATGTCATTTTTTAATTAACTATGTCATGTAATTCTTGTTATTAAAATCAGGAGTTTGCTATAAACCTAAATAGTCAAATCTTCAGAGGCCAATGTATAATTAATGAAATTGGGTTAATTTTTTTTTTTTCTCTATAAAGTAGCTAGGTTTCTCATGGATGCTGTGTCTAAATATTTCAACTCAAGCACACACCGGTATTTAGCCACTGTTATTCATGAGAAGAAAGTCTCTCATATAGTCCTATTGAATTAAATATTGGTAAATTTTTAGTATAATTGCTTTAATTTAACGTTAATCCTTCTGTAATTTCATTTAGACAGGATTTTGATAATTCTAAATCTAGGGGTTCCATTGTTCAGTGGGGTACCCATTTTCCATCTGTTATTTCCCAGCTTCTCTGTTAGTCTTAAGGAGTATTTGTAAATGTTTGTATTTCATGTGTTTAATTATTATTTTGTAATATTGTACCATGTGTTTTTTGTACGTCTCAGGGAATTATCTTGCAACTGTAAAACTTTTTTGGTTAATATATATACTACTTATCTTTTTTGAAACTCTTGGTTTTTCAAATAATTTCTTTGGGTGAATTCAGAATTTTAATAAATCATGTAAAAAATAAGAGACATTTTTTTTCCTCTGGTGGAATTATTTATTGGTTAATTTATCGTTTTAAATTCCATATATATTTATCATCATATTAATTTAATTTCCCAGTCATGATAATTTCTTTGGGTTGGAATATAGATCACAGGGATACAGAGATGGTGGGATTTTGTTTCCTTTCTTCATAAGACTCAGTTATCTGTAATTGGAGGTTCTTTCCTGAGATACCACTTTTTGTGTGTATTGTTATTCATGTAATAATGTATTCATGTATCAATTCATAATAAGTGTTGAAATGAGAAAAAAGTTGGTTATAACTAGTGTTGAACTTACTCTCACTGATAATCGATCATCCGTCAGGCTTAGCGATTCTGCTCGTTTGTTAGAAATTTCATGATTGGCGCGGAAGGAAGTTGATAAGCTTTGTATGATATGTATTACTTCAGTACGATTTATCTTGTTGTAAACGCAAAATGAGATGGCCGCGAACGGTAGCTTGGTCGAGGTAACGTGATGCCGTCTTTGTAAAATTAAGTTTATCCCTGTGTTTTCCGCTAAAACACAGCATTCAACATTTCAGTTTATATCGGTCTTTCATCGTTTTAAAAGTTTCTGATTGTGTGTTCGTAAGCAATGATCGATTATAAAAATTTATTATTAATGTTTTTTGTATTTTCATTTACATGTATATTGTATATTATTTATATGGATCATCTGCACACATAGTTCTAAATGCATATATGTATGTCCATCTGCCACAACCCTCGCCTCGCCTCATCTCACCTCAGCCTGCTAGATGTACAGTAAGTGGTATTTTGCCTTCTGGTGATTGCCAATTTAAGGACCCTCTCTACACTTCACAATATTTTCAGGGTACTTTTGTGTATTTTGACTGAATCTCATTTGACATAAAATATAGAATAAATAGTTATCTGCATTGTATATCATAATTTAAAATAAATCTTGAGTATTCTAAACAGTATATTAGACCAAGATAGAGTAAACTTCATTAGCATGTTTTTCTCCATTTGAGTAAGCAAAAGCGATTTCTCTTTTTCATTACTTCATTGTCTTTGAAGATTTTTCCTGGATAAAAAAGATGCGCTTCCTATATTAAAGATTAATTAGTTAATTTTAAGATCCTCCTTTATGCTATGTAAATTTATCAGAGTCCAAAAAACATTTTTCATCAGTGTATAGGGGGTCCTTAATATTTGTATATATGTTTTCAAAAAAAAAAAAAAACAAAAAAAAAAAAACAAAAAACAAAAAAAAAAACAAAAAAAAAAACAAAAAACAAAAAAAACAAAAAATAAAAAAAAAAAATACAAAAAAAAATACAAAAAAAAAAAAAAAAAAAAATACAAAAAAAAAACAAAACAAAAAAATACAAAAAAAAAAAAAATATATATAAAAAAAGAATATGTATATAGAGAGAGCTTGTGCATTAGTAAGGTGTTGGTTGTCTGTCTGTGTAAGCAGTTTTTGAAAATATTACTTCCCCTTTCAATGAATTTTTTTCATTAGGAAGACATCATTTTGATTATTTTCAATTTTAAAGTTGCTAATAAACATCTTAACTATTCTAACATTTGTTCAATCAGTATTCCTTAGAAATTTGTAATCATCAGACTGTGCATAGAGGTTGGTCTTTATAAACAGACTTGTGACTATGTTAGGGCAAATTACATGTCCCTGATCTTTCTGCCAAATTTCACAAAAATTGTCATGAATCAACATATTAGAAATCCTTCATTTGATCATCTCCAAAATTCATGGCATAAGACAAGATATTACACAAGAATCGTAAACATTTATTATTTCAAGCATGGGGTAGTGTGTGGGGGTGGGGGGGGGGGGGGGGGGGATGGGGGCACATCTAACATTTCTTACTTAGTATTTTGTCAGGTTATGAGTCAAAATCTAGTCCAACAGCAGCTGATGGATGGATGTTTCACTTTATTAAGTGCCCAACCTGTAAAATAATGAGATTTACTACTTTATTTTGTGTAAGTATATGAAAGTATTTCAATGTTAGGCCATTCCAAGTTTTTTCTCTGTTTAGCGTCCACCCATCATTCAAAAACCTATCTACCTATTCGCAAAAAACACACAAGTCAATAAATTAAACACAGACTTTATAGTCATAATAATGACATCATTCAAAGAAGTTGAGTTCAATTATATATTTTTCTCATAGAAATATCTATTCTTTAGCAAAATCAAGGTATTAAATGCTTAAAATATATCTAATATGACATATCGAAGATAGATCACTAGAGAAAATGACAGAATTCAAAGATTTCGACCAGAATAATCACTTTCAGGACTCCTGATTCTGTTTGTTTTTTCTGATACTGGGTGTCAAAACCAAGGCGCACGCGGATGCTAAACATAGAAAAAACTTGGAATGGCCTTATCTAAGAAAACAGTTTAAACAATTGTCCTGAATTGCATAGATCTCTTACACCAACCCTATAGTTACTTGAATATCACTCTTCTCTTCCAGACTGCAAATTGACGGAAAAAGGGGAGGTTGCTGCCTAGTGGACATGTTTAATATGCAAGCACTTGGCAAGTACATTTAAAAACTTCATTTTACAATATGTGTACTGAAAAATACTGATAAAGGTTAAGATTTCTACCCTTTACACTGTCACTCTTCATGCTATTCAAATTAAGTGGACAAGTTTTTGGAGCTATTAAAGTTAATTTGGACCAGAAAATTTGTGGTGTACATCTATGAATCACAACTGATCTTAACTTGTTTCCACTTTGACCTCTGGACTTTTAATTGATAGGATGTAGAGCAGAATACTGGCCTACCAGATGTAGCAGGACATGGAGCCACTTGGTAGCCAGGGAGTCTGGGAAAGGTTGAGCTGTTTTAAGAACAAAGGTTTATGAGGTGAGTTATTTATTTCTTGTGCATATTTCTTGTGTAACTTTATAGCAATTTGTAATTTTCTCCCATTCTTTTATGTATTTCATACTTATTGTCTTTGGGATTTATACATTGAAAGGTATTTTATCTGAAAATTTTCTTCCATTGTTTCTGAACTGTACTAATCTTGTGTCATTTGACAGGGACACAGAGGAGGGACTGACTGATGGCAGCTAGCCATCCATACATTGCAGAGAAGAGCTGATCGCCAGAGCATCGACTAGATCAACAAGCCAAAACTGGCCAAAGTGGTAAAAAACATTATTGATTGAATGCATTCTTACCTAAGTGACAAATGTTCTACTCATTTCTCCTGAGAGACATATAACTTTCTCATTTAGTGAAGTCAAGTTACGTCAGTTTTGTTAACGTTTATACATTCAGTGTTTACATGCAAAGGTTTAAACTTGTCTGGATCTGGTGTTTTTAAGCAGACCATCATGCTTTAACCTGAGGGAGCCAAGAGTAAGAATGGACTAAGCCAGTTATAAAATAGAGGGTAAGACAGAAACTCTTCTTTTTCACTCTGTGTGTGTTTAATTTTTTTAAAATTAATTTGATGAATACTTGATAACTTTTTAGCTCACCTCGACGAAGTCGAGATGAGCTTATGCTATACCCCCGGCGTCGGCGTCGGTGTCGGCGTCGGCGTCGGCGTTAGCGTCGGCGTCCCAGGTTAAAGTTTTAGGAGCAAGTCCCATTCCCAAGTAACTATAAGCCCTACCTGGACCAAACTTGCATGGATGATGCATCTAGGGATGGACACTACCACACTTGCTTCGGATGCTGGATCTGACCTAGATTTTCCAGATGAGTGACCAGGTTAAAGTTTTAGGAGCAGGTCCATTCCCAAGTAACTATAAGCCCTACCTGGACCAAACTTGCATGGATGATGCATCTAAGGATGGACACTACCACACTAGCTTCGGATGCTGGATCTGACCTAGATTTTCCAGATGAGTGACCAGGTTAAAGTTTTAGGAGCAGGTCCATTCCCAAGTAACTATAAGCCCTACCTGGACCAAACTTGCATGGATGATGCATCTAGGGATGGACACTACCACACTTGCTTCGGATGCTGGATCTGACCTAGATTTTCCAGATGAGTGACCAGGTTAAAGTTTTAGGAGCAGGTCCATTCCCAAGTAACTATAAGCCCTACCTGGACCAAACTTGCATGGATGATGCATCTAGGGATGGACACTACCACACTAGCTTCAGATGCTGGATCTGACCTAGATTTTCCAGATGAGTGACCAGGTTAAAGTTTTAGGAGCAGGTCCATTCCCAAGTAACTATAAGCCCTACCTGGACCAAACTTGCATGGATGATGCATCTAGGGATGGACACTACCACACTTGCTTCGGATGCTGGATCTGACCTAGATTTTCCAGATGAGTGACCAGGTTAAAGTTTTAGGAGCAGGTCCATTCCCAAGTAACTATAAGCCCTACCTGGACCAAACTTGCATGGATGATGCATCTAAGGATGGACACTACCACACTAGCTTCGGATGCTGGATCTGACCTAGATTTTCCAGATGAGTGACCAGGTTAAAGTTTTAGGAGCAGGTCCATTCCCAAGTAACTATAAGCCCTACCTGGACCAAACTTGCATGGATGATGCATCTAGGGATGGACACTACCACACTTGCTTCGGATGCTGGATCTGACCTAGATTTTCCAGATGAGTGACCAGGTTAAAGTTTTAGGAGCAGGTCCATTCCCAAGTAACTATAAGCCCTACCTGGACCAAACTTGCATGGATGATGCATCTAAGGATGGACACTACCACACTTGCATCTGATGCTGGATCTAACCTAGATTTTCCGGATGAGTGACCAGGTTAAAGTTTTAGGAGCAGGTCCATTCCCAAGTAACTATAAGCCCTACCTGGACCAAATTTGCATGGATGATGCATCTAGGGATGGACATGGCCACACTTACTTCGGATGCTGGATCTTATGTAGATTTTCCAGATGTGTACCAGGTTAAAGTTTTAGGAGCAGGTCCATTCCCAAGTAACTATAAGCCCTACCTGGACCAAACTTGCATGGATGATGCATCTAGGGATGGACACTACCACACTTGCTTCGGATGCTGGATCTGACCTAGATTTTCTGGATGAGTGACCAGGTTAAAGTTTTAGGAGCAGGTCCATTCCAAAGTAACTATAAGCCCTACCCAGACCAAACTTGCATGGATGATGCATCCAGGGATGGACACTACCACACTTGCTTCGGATGCTGGATCTGACCTAGATTTTTACACATGTGAGACCAGGTTTAGATTTAGGAGTAGTCTCGTTCCCAAGTAACTATAAGCCCTACCTGGACCAAACTTTCATGGATGATGCATCTAGGGATGTACACTAACCAACCTGCTTCGAATGCTGGATCTGACCTAGATTTTCCACATGAGTGAATTTTAGCCATATTTTAACCAAATTAGCATGGATGATGTATCTAGGGATGGATACTTCCAGACTTGCCTTGGATTCTGAATCTGACGTACATTTTCCAGATGAGTGACCAGGGTAATTTTTTGGAGTAGCTATATAATATTATGGCCTGTTATGATTAAACTTGCATAGATGGTGCATCTAAGGATGAAAACTTCCAGACTTGCTTTGGATGTTGGAACTGACCAAAATTTTCTTGATTACTAAACAGGTCAAAAGTTTTTTGAGCAGATCTATAATTAAATCAAACTTGCATGGATATTGATCTTAGGATGTATCCTAACTAGAAAAAAAATATGATGTGAAATTTGCCTTACATGTAGATAACATTCGTCGAGGTGAGCTTCGTAATCTTTGATTACCTATGTTTTCATCTCTGGCTATTCTTTGTTTACAGGTAAATGGTAAGACTGGTCTTATCCCCCAGTTTTAGATAAGCCTAAGAAGGATGTTGATAGGACGGACATACTCTGGCCAATCTTATATCTGGCAGGGTAAAATACATTGTTTTTTCCTTAATTGCTAAATCTGTGTACAATTCAATCGTACTTTTATCCACTGGAAACATCTTGACCTCTTGCTTTTGCATTTTAGCAGAAGGAGGCAAATGGATTACCTCTACCCAACAGGGAAGAAGAGTTTCCCCAATCAACTGAAGCTAACTTTGCAAGATGTGGTAAGAATCATACTTTTCTTCTTGCACATTTTGCTGTTTTAAACATTATGTAGAGTGGGTCCCACTTAACCTCTTGACTTTCAGTTGGCAGGGAGTACATAGTGCAGCAGCTTGGACCATCAAGAGCTACAGGAGAAGAAGGACATGGACATGGAACCACTCAGCTGCCAGGGAGCCTAGAAAAAGAGAGAAAAAAAGACACGAGGTGAGCTGTTTTGTTACTATGCATAATTTTCCTCTCTACCCCTTCTAAATGTATTAACCTATGTGCATTTGTTTCTGTATAGTTGTTTATTTCCCTTTCTCTCATAATTTTGTATTTGTCATGTATTTTTGAAATGTTATTAATAGGAATTTTCATTTAAATTGTCTTCCATTGTTTTAAAACTGTACAAATCTTGTGTCAGTTTCAAATTTTGAAACAGGAACAGAAGAGCCGGATTGACAGAATAGCCAGCCAATCAGATGATTTCCAGGATATCAATTAAGCTAATAGACCACCATTGGCCAAAGTGGTAAGAAACAACTGACATTTCTTGCACTTTTGTTTCCTATTCTTAGTTGATCTAAGTAAGGCATTAACTCAACATTTGGACTTTCTGTATGTGTTGTTCCTTTTCCAGATGTACGTTTGTCACATATTTCATATTTGACCTCTTCACTCTCTATTATCATAGGCAAGCTTTGATCCCACTGTGGAGAACAACTCAATTATTCATCAGGAAGAGTTCAGCTATAGCAAGGATCAACTGCAGATAACCATGGAAGAAAGGGTAAGGTATTAATTCTCTTCTTTGTACAGTAAAACACTTATAATGAGGTGTAAGAGAAGAGCAATTTTGCCTTTTATAGATATAATTTGTTATATCCATTATGTTTATGATATATTTTAAAACCACATGGAATTAAATTCATTTAATTCCTACAAGTGTTTGCTACAAGTGTGTTTTACTGTACTGACCTACTTTTTGAGATATGTAAGTCATGCTTGCTTCTTCTTACACACTTTCTTTGATCATGACTTGTTCTTATACTTTGACTTTATGACTTTTAGTTAACAGAATAAAGAGCAGTAGAGCCCATCAGAAGCAAGAGACAAAGTTAATTACTACTTGGAGCCTAGTAGTCTTGTAAAGGTTTGGTTTTTGTCTTAAAAACCAGTCATAAGGTGAGCTTTTTTTGTTTTATTTGCATATATTTCTGTTTCCCTCTCCCTGCCCTTTCTAACCATTACTAACCTGCACTTTCCTTTTACAATTGTTTGTGTCCTTTCCCCAGAAATGTATTTGTTATTTTTTTTTTTGTGATTTATAAATTGATATATATTATCATCTGTCATTGTTTCTGAAATGTACTAATTTTGTGTCAGTTTCTACCTTCAAAAGGTTCTCAGAAGAGGAATGGACAGCTAGTTGCCGACTACAAATCAAAGTTGAGACCATTGCGAGGATCCAGGATACTGGGTATCCACCAAGCCTACAGGTCATTACTGGCCAAAATGGTAAATAAAAAAAGCAAGCAACAGTTATTGCACTTTCGGATTTTTTTTTTCTTTTCCCACATGATCCAAGTATGGGAATAATGAATCTTGTTAACCTCTTCACCCTTTTTGTTGACAGAATAATGGTAAGGGAAGCCTTGATCCTATGGTGGAGAAATAATTCCATTGACTCATCAACAGAAATCAACTACAGCCAGCCATGGAAGAAAAGTAAGAAACAAACTTTCTTCCTAATTGTACTGACAACATTTCTTGTACATCTGTACAACTTACTATGATGAGGAGTCCTTTAATTTTGATGCAATATCTTTATCTTACAGAAAATGTTTAACCCCTATCTTAAGATCAAAAGTGGTTGAGCATATGTACTAATTTCTTACTCGTAAATTTGATTTGAAGGTGAGGAAGCAGCATATCCGGTTGACCACCATAACGTAAGCTGGCTTTACGAGCAATGAGTCCGGTTAATTAGAAATAGTGCATCACCTGCCAGCAAGAGTACATAAAGCTAGAATTAACTGCTGCCAACCCAGCAGTTGAAGGTAAATAATACTGTAAACTATAATTTGGGTCAAAATTTGTGATTCGTCAATGTATTATCATTCAGCAAAAGTTAATTTTTTGGACTGAGGGATCATTCTACGTATATTCATAATTCAAAAAAATAGGTGATTAATAAAGAAAGATGAAACTTGCAGATATTTTTCGCATGTAAAAGAAATTTGAATCATTCTCTTTAAATCTTTGTTATGTTCCTTCCATTAGAAAAAGTCTCTGTTCATTAACTTCTCGTTTTTTCTTCTGAGCAGAAAGGGGTTGGGGGTTGGCTTGCCTTGACTCATCAGTAAAGAAGAATCTTCTCATAACTGAGGCCAGCTTAACATGATGTGGTAAGATTCTTGCTTTTCTTCTTGCTCACAAACTTTATTTTTTAACTTGTATTAATGAATACAAATGTATAAGACCTAAACTTGGTCATACTTCCTGACTTACAGTAGACAGATTGATTGTTGAGCAGCAGCAAGAGAACGTAGAACTAACTGGAGTCTGGAAAAGGTTTGGTTTTTGTATTAAAAACCTGACACGAGGTGAGCTTTTTTTTTACTTTTACATATTTCTGTATCATGTCTTGCCTACCCCATCTAACATTACTAACCTTTGTGCACTTTCCCTTTATCATTGTTTGTGTCCCTTTCCTTAATATGTATTTGTCATTTTTTTTTTTTCAATTTATGCATTTATAAGCTTTCATCTTCTGTCATTTTTCATCAGTTGTTTTGGAAATGTACTAATCTTTTGTCAGTTTCTATATTTGACAGGTCTCCATGGAGGGATGAACAGATGGTGGACAGACACTAGCTGAAGAGGAGACCAATGCGAGGATCCAGGATACAGGGTATCTACCAGACCTACAGGCCATCATTGGCCAAAAAGGTATTTTTTAAAAAAAGCATGTTATTGTACTTTTGGATTTTTGGTTTTCTATAATTCTTACTTGATCCAAGTATAGAAATAATTGACCTATTGACTCTGTATTTACAGAATCATGGTTATCAAGTTCTATCCCACCTTGGAGTAGCAACCCCCATTATTCATCAAGAGGAATGTAGAGAGGAAGGATCAGCTGCTGCCAATCATAGAAGAATGGGTAAGATACAAACTCTCTTCTCTTTATTGACCCCCATTGCTCTTCCCTACTTGATGTAGATTGAAACATCTTTTGATCTTAAATCTATTAATCTTATAGATTCAGTGACAGACAGTCCCCTATCTGCAGAATAGGAAGAGTGCATCACCGGCCTACAGGTACAGAGAGCCTGAAATGACTGCGACCAGCCCTGCAGATGACAGTAAGCCCTTGCTCTCTGTCAATTTAAATATCTCTTTTTCACTTGATGAAGACTTTGTATCTTTATTAAATGAACTCTACCCATTCTTAATTATTAGGCAGTGTGTTGACAAGCCTTCACCAAATTTTCAAGTCCAGCTTCCTGTGTTTAATTAGAGGAGTTTAAGACTAATGATTGACTGTTGCTTAACCTAGAAATAAGACACAAGCTCTACTCCTTTCAATCTGAGAGTTTCCAAAACTTGCTTATTTGATGAACTCGGAATTCTTTTTATTTGTTGACATATACATATTTTGTGTTAACAGGCAGATGGTTAAGTGACCTGAATTCCATGTTCAAGAGCATACAGACTGTCATACAATAACCAGAGGTTAAGGATAGATAGGTGCCTAACCTAAAAGTAAGGCTATAACACAAACTCTTCTCTTTTTACTCTGTGAGACTTTTTTTCTCTTTGCCATTTGATGAAGTCCAAGTACTTTTTTGTTTTTGACCTAAATTTATTTATATTGACAGAGCTCCATCCTAAGTCTTAGGAGAGCCTGATAGATGGATGAAGAGTCTGGACAGGAGGACCTGACTACAGCTAGCCCTTCAGGTAAAGGTAAGATTCAGGGGTTTCATCTCTCTCTCTCTCTCTCTCAGCTAGCCCTTCAGGTAAAGGTAAGATTCAGGGGTTTCATCTTTCTCTATCTCTCTCTCTCTCTAACAACCTATCCTTAGAAAAGTCATGATATTAATTTGACTTTCTGTTTTTCTGTCTAAGCAGGAGGATCCCCTTGAGTCAATGCAGCCAGTGAAGAGGAATCTCCCCAATCAAATGAAGTTGACCTCACAAGATTCAGTAAGTTTCTAGTTTTTTTCTAGTTTTTTTTTCTTTTTCTTTTTTTTCCAAAAGATGAAGGGGAGATGCATTTTATTTATAGTTGTTTGCTATGTTAAATTTCTAAAGGTGCCATTGAACAATTTGATATGTTGTGTAGGATTTTCCAGCTACTGTATTATAAATTTCAATTGCATCTGAGTTGATAAATCAGAAAAATCTAAAACGTTTAAGTTCAAAGTAGAATTTAACAACTGTGCAGTTTAAATGTTTCAGTACCTATTATCACAAGCATTTTGGTTTACAAAACTACAAGTTACAATGTTTAAAGGTACCAATAATATTAATTTGATATTTTGTAGTGAAGACAAATGTCTGGTGATGTGGACTTTCAGTAAAGAATACAGCAAGGAAGGACATGGTGTAAGATTCGGAAGATAGGACATTACATCATGAACTGACTATTACATATGTATGTGTGTGTGTGTTTTTGTTGATGTTGTTGTTGTTATGTTGTTTTTGTTCTGGATAAGGTCATTGTAAATTCTGTTGTCACAAACCTAGCTGATAACAGTGTGTTAGTCCTGCTTCATATTCTGTTATTATGATTGCTATATGATATCATAGTTTTTTTGATCTGTCTGTCTCATCATCTCTATGGTAGCTATTCTTGGTTCAGAGCAGTCACAGCAAGACGTAGAAATTTTAAACATTCATACTGAAATTAAAGCCTTTGAGGTACCCTTTAGGTAGGTCACAATGACTTGCCTCATTAAGGACAAATTAATACCAATATCTATGACATTTAGAGTGTCTTTATCCCCCCATTGAATGTTTGATAATCTCAAATGTTCTGCTGCATTTAAGAGAATTTCATTTGGGATAAAGCTAAGTGTTTAATGGTATTTTTGTTAACATAAGTGGTAGGCATTTCTAAATTCTGGTGCTTATACAAGTAGCGTTTTGTATCCTTGATAAAAGTGTGCCTGGTCTGATTAACCTTCAGATTTGAACACGTATAATGTTCATGGTGTGGACATGCACATTCGGTGCTTATATGCAGATTTGTATCTGCATTTATGTCCTGATTTGATATATATTACTTCTGTTGGGACAACTCTTATTCTTTTCCGCTGGCTTTGACTGCCATATTCTGATGTTTGTTAAACATTTCCATCATATTTCTTACTTGCCTTTTGCCAGTTTCCACTATGGAAATTATGATTGTGCAACAGGATTTGAAATTTTGCCAGTAAGGTGACTTGTTTATGCACTAAAATTTTCCTGGATGCTAAAACGGTGTGTGCCTATTTTGGAATTAGACTGTGTTCTTGAAAATTTATAGCTAGCATAAATAAGCTGCCTTTCTGGCATGGTTTCTGCATTCCCATTTATACTGTTAAGATTGAGGGGCATGACATTTACCCCTTAAGTAGGTCACATTGACCTTATTTTAACATAAGCTGAACTTGCTTTTTCTTGCTTTTACAGTTTTGATTATAGCATTTACACTGTGATGCCGAAAGTTAAGGTCACAGTGACCTAAAGAAAAGTATCTTAAAAGCTTCTCCAATTTGATATGTTATTGGGATAACTTAACCTTAGTATGTTAATCAAGTAACCTTGATATGTTAAGTCAGGAAACTTAATCATGGTATGTAAATCAGATAACTTCACTTAACCTTGGTATGTTAAACAGGTTTCACTTAACCTTGACATTTTAATCAGGCTTAGAATGTCTATTGATGTGTGTAGGATGCTGAAGGATGATATTGCACTATATATCTATTTAAATCGGATGACTTTCCTCATTTTAGAATTATATAACCTTGCTTATTTCCTTTCCCATTTTGGATTGTATCATTTCCATTGTAAGAACCTTTCACTTAAAGCAACTTAATTTATAGATCATAATTTAGTGCTGGTACAGATACCATTTCATATTCCTGATGAAAATATGTTGATCTGGGTAATGGCCTAAGTGAACATCTATAATGTTCATATTTGGTGTTTGTGCTTATCTTGTGCTTATAAGCAAGCTATTTGGAATTCTGTCTTGAAAGTATGCCCCGATTGGGTTCTACTTCTGATAGGATAGTTCTTTATTTGCTCTGGCTTTGTGCTATATTATTAAGTTTGTGGAGTTTGTTAAACAGAGCATTTCCATTAGATCTCATGATTGCCAGTTTCCACTATGAAAACTGTGAATATGGGAGAGTTTAAAACTTGTGCCAGGGAGGTGACATATTTATGCACTGAAATTTTCTTGGATGCTAAAACGGTGTGTGCCTATATTTTTGTGGATTCGATTGTGTTCTTGAAAATTTTTAGTTAGTAAATATGCTGCCTTTCAGTCATATGGTTTCTGACTCCCCGTTAATTATACTGACTTAAAATTGAAGCACTTAATGGAACACAGCTCTATGTAGGTCACAGTGACCCACATTATTTGGAATTGGCTAAATTGTGCTGTTTTCTTTCCCATTGTGGATTATATCATTTTCCCTGTAAGTTAGTGCATTGAATCTTGTCTTTTGAAGCATTTTTCAGGAAAGTGTGTGTAAAAAAAACCTTATTTATAGATCACAATGACCTGTGTATTATATCATTGAAAATTGATAATCATGACATGAAGTCCTTAGGAGATTCTACTGGATATAATTGACTTTGTCACTTGATGTTTAGGACATTGTGATTTCCAGCCTAATTGTAGGTCACTATGACCTCCAAAAATATACATATATATGATGCACATCACTGGAAGTTGGATTACACCAAAGATCATCATCACACTAAAACTATATTTTAAGAATCTGTATCCACCAGTAGTGTAGTGGTAAGCAGACTCATTTCTGACCAGTGCTACCCAATCAGGGGATAGAGAAGGGTGGTACATGGGGGACCTTCAGATGGGTTTGTCTGGACCATGGGTTCTCTGTAGGTATAACTCTAGCTTCCTCCCACATTCAACACCAGCTTGTTTCTTCATCTATCAGTTTAAAATATCAAGTACTTGTTTAGTGTTTGATGTGTCCACTTACTCACTGTGAGTGGAATTTCATTTTCTTGGTTATTCATTGTATTTGAGAAGGGTTAAGAGTTTGATTATAGTAGTTCTATGATTATATGATGGGCATTTCAAATTTTATGCACTTCGTTGCTAATACAGACACCGTTAATTGTGTATTTACTGATGGAAGTTTACCTGATATGGGTACCTATCCCATCTTAATATCTCATATGTTCATCTTTGCTGTCAACATGCACAACTGGTGATTATATGTTCACTGTAATTTTCAATCCCAATTTTTGAAACTTAATGTCCCTATTCATAAATCCATTTGTTAGCTAGGATATCAGTTTTTATTGCTCTGGCTTTGTGCTATATTCTATTGTTTGTTAATCACAGCAATTACCCATCAGATTTCTTAATTGCCAGTTTCCATCATGGAAATTTGAGTGTGCAAAAGAATTTAAAACTTGTGCCAGGGAGGTGACATATTTATGCACTGAAATTTTCTTGAATGCTAAAACGGTGTGTGCCTATTTTGGAATTTGATTGTGTTCTTGAAAATTTTTAGTTAGTATAAATATGATGCCTTTCTGTCATGGGTTATGGCTCCCCATTCATCGATTAAAATTGAGGGGCTTATACATTCCTTAAGTAGGTCACCATGACCTTGTAATAAAATTGGCCAACGTTAATGTTGCTCTTTGCTTTGATCATTTACACTGTGAGCTAGGCCTTAGATATTTGACCTAGTGACTAGATGCATCTTTGGGGACCATGCAAAGGTCACAGTGACCTCTTGAAATGAATGCCTCATAATTGGTATTAATTCTGTTTAAAGACATCTCTATTAATTTGAAAGTTGAAATGAAGAATATACAATGGTTTTCTCCACTGTTTTTCTTAAATTTTGATATGTTTCTATACACCTCCCATCATTTAAATAGATGTAGAATATTTAAGAAGCATTTTTCACTCCTTATTAAGGTCAATATGACCTACCTTATTTCCCAAGAATTCAATTATAACCTTGCTGTAACTGTATAATATAGGAAACTTAAAATTGCATAAGTAATATTTTTTATGTTATTTTGTGTTACACATTGTAATTGACTAGTTGCATTGTTCCTGTGTTTTCGCAGCCTTATCTGTTTTGCATGCATATTATAATGGAAAAGGTTTCCAGAGCTTTTTCTTTCATAAAAAACTTATAAGTTTTATCTCTGGTTTTAACCCTGGCCATTATAATATGCTCTCAAAAATACATGTTTTTGTTAACCTTGCATTTGTCACAGACTTTTTTTTTACACCAAGGATATGATATTTATCAATAGTTTAACTGGGTGGCAAAGCTAGGAAGTGTAGTTATAACTCTGTGAATTTGTACAAGACATCTATGGTTGTCTTTGCTCTGTTTGTGTGATATTGATGTACATGTGGAATTATTTTATTTAACAGTTTATTATATTGTATGTATTAAAGCTTAAATTAGTATGTGGATGCTGCACATTGTTTTACTTTGCTTCACGTATTGGCAGGTATGAATACATCTTAAATACAA